TGCGACGGAAGCTTGCGTCGCTGTTTGTTCGTGCTTTTGCGACGATTCATATTTTTGGCGACGACCGAAGTTTTTTCGTCGCTCAAGCTCTTAGGCGACGCGGTATACGCAACGAAGGGCCGTTGTCTAAAGCGTCGAATTGTTTCGTCGCCAATACTATAAGCGACGAATTTTGGACCTTTAGCGACGAAATCTGTCGTCGCTAAAGGTCCAGTTTTTTGTAGTGACGCCTTGTACCTGTCAGAGGCCTGACAGGTTGGTCGAGGCGCCCCGCCTGACAGAGGTACGGAGTATTAAATGCGATGCTGACGTGGAACTGGGTTGATGAAGCCTGGTTCAGGGTTGGGTGAGTATAAATAGTGCTGATAGGTAGCATTTGCTTAGGCTGGATTCTCTCACTAAACACTAGAGTTTGGGACTTCTCTCTCTAAAATCTAAACTAACTTGATCGTCGGAGGATTAACGGGCGCCCTCTCTGTGTGCGCGTGTGCAGGTCAGGCGCCCATAACTCATCGCACGAGAAAAGAACAGGTGCAGAATTGGGCTCCAAAGTATCTTGGCAGTTGGCTCAAACAAATTAACTCAAAATGTCTTTCGGCAGTGGATGCATATTGTACAGGCAACCAACAATGGCTTTCGGTTTCGATTGGCACATCTCTACTTAATATTAACAACAATAATTAAAGTCCCATATCAAATCCAGGCCTTTGATTACTTAATCGTTACTTAATTACTTTCCCTCCCAAAAACCCTCTACCGGGAATGATTAGCCACTAATTGCGCCAGGTCGACATATATTGAATATAATAATGTTTGTTGTGCATGATCATAATAATTTAATGAAATTGGGTTGGTTAGAGGGTGGGTTGGTTTGCGCCGTTGTCAATTACAACACACGCGGGGCCGAGTCGTCCGCATCAGACAGACAGCACCCGAACCTACTTTCCGACCAGTGACGACCGACGACCGCCGATGCATGCTGGTAAGGAAGAAGACAAAAGAAAGGGTTGCAGTGCACAGTCCTCTGCCACGTGGCGAAATTTCGACACATGGTTCGTTCTGGCGGCTGCACGAATACCCAAAGGCCAACCTTGCAGGCAAACAAAGTATGGGTCATTAAACATTTAAACATGTGGGATGAATAAAGCTCTCCTTACTCCTTATGAAGCCTCAAACATGTGTTAATAAATAGGGTAAATTCTTGTGTTTTTTACCTTTTTTTGTTGTTCATTGTCTTTCTTATTTGTTGTCGATTATCTCAATTTCTGCGTGAAGTAAGGATTTTATTTGACCCGCTAATTAGAATTAGTTTCGTGAAACAAATAAAAAAGGACGATACATAAAAATTATGAAGTGAAAACAATATCTTAAAACGAATGCATATTGATACTGTGAATTTTGATATCCAACACAGTAAAGCCCACGAAGAGACATGGTAAGATCATAATTACACCATCTCTTCTAGCTAGATAGTGAACCTCTGTATCTCCTTGAAGTATAGTGAAAGTGACTCTCTTCTGTTTGTAGATCCTCTAACACACAATGTGAAAGTGAATCATGTACATCAGTGTGTCATGTTCGTTCTTGTTTTCATTTTCTTGCTTTGACAGTCCTCCGATTTTCCAATGCATAGAGAAACAGTCGTGACAAATCTCATCAATCGATTTGAACTTTTGGGGGTCCAAAGAAAAGAAGAACAAGAGGCACGTCCAAACCTTGGAGTCACTTTCAAGGACAGAAGGAAATGATCAATCAATTCACAATTGGGACTTGGGAGGAAGCCATAATTAAGGAGAGTTGCTATCGTGGTGGGAATGAAATGAAGGATCGCAGCATGGATGCTTGATGGACATCCACACTAGGCAATTAATTGGCAACTGGAACCATACTAACCAAATTAATTAGCTTTCCGTCTCTCTGCACTTTTGCCTCGCAACTCTCACAAGAAAAGAACAAGAAAGGTTTTCTACGAAAAGCTTTTCGGAATTTAATTGGAGCTACCCATTTTCTATCCTTTCAATTTTCTTTTTCTTCACGACAGCAACTCCACTATGATGTTGCTCTTAGAGAATGAACAAATCGTAAGAAAATAAATGATATCTGTTAGTTAGGTTAACATGCAAAGCAAGGTTGTCAACCCGCGAGCTGATTCGGACCTGATCGAGCTAGTGAATCAAGAGTTTATGGGTCACCCATTTTAGTCCGGTTTGGCCGGAAAATATGGAAAGAGTCATTATATTGTACTTACCCTGATAAATTATATCAAATATCATCTAAAATATGAGTTATAACATATAATATTACATCAAAATAACATGACGTACTTAGATCCAACCAGTGGCGGAGCTAGAAAATTGTTCAAGGGGTGTCTTTCTTCATACCGTAAAGAAATCAACTACGCGCATAATAGAAAAGTCAACTATGCCAAAAAGTCAATAACATGATACTCAATATACATACCATTAAAAATAAATGTTTAACCACATCGCTTACAATGAATAACGACAAGATTTCATATTCTAAAAGTAAAGTAGAACACATTCCTTGTCTAAACCGGCACACACATACATCTTGTTTAATATATGTCACCAACAAATTGTTCAACCACTCATCATTCATCCGAATCCGAAGATTGTTCTTGATATATTTCATGAAGGAAAATTATCTATACACTTGTTGCAACAACAAAAAAATTGCCCTTTTATGCGTCCTCGAATAGTATCTCTTCATTTAATTTATATATCAAGATCTTTATTATATGACAAATCAAAGAACAACTTAGTTTAGTTAATTGAATCTTATCAGACGTAGGAGTGTACTGGTGAGAAGAACAAATCCGTAATTTTAATTTCAAGACAAGTTGTTGTAAGGGGTTCTATCTATATTCTAGGATTTTTGGATCCTTCAAGGGGGCTGCTGGCACCCCCCACATCCCTGAGTGGCTCCGCCACTGGATCCAACATATAGTGAAAATTCACACACACTTATATAACATTAATTTTCAAATGTTCAACTTAGGATTCCAAAGATTGAGTTAGGCGAAAAGAAAAATCGGAAAATAAGCGCATTTCGTAAACCAAAGAAACAAATGACACAATTTAACCTCCTACCCGATACCTAGTAGCGGTCGACCCGACGGGTGCGTGCGGCCCGTTTTTCTCACCGGGCCAAAGTGGGTCGCCACGGGTCGACCAGCAGGTTGACAACCTTGGGCAGAAGAGAATAGCTATGTTACTTAAAAAAAGACACCGTGGGTCGGGGGCATTGAGTCCCCGAACTCTCAATCTGAACGAATCGCTCTGGACCCCAACTCGTTGATCAGGCAGCGAGTAGGGATGGCAATCAAACCCATGCCCACGGGTATCCGACCGCCTCCGACCCAGTCAACGCAGGGAATCCCCGCTTTGACTGGGTATGGAGCGGGTATGGGTAAAACCCGCAAAATGTTTGATGGGTATGGGGCGGGTATGGTTTTAGCCTCTCCCGCCCCATACCCATACCCATACCCGACCCACCAAGAATAATTGTTCACATATAAAAAATACATGGATGAAATAGTAATCTATAAATGATAGTGAGGGTAAATCAAAAAAATAATTAGTAGAAATGCAATTGAGTGATCACCCAAATCAAAACCTAATTCATTTTCCTCAACTCTCTCTTCACTCTTCATATTGCTTAGTATATGTATTAGAGTTAGATAAATAATGATTTGGATTACATTGTAGTACTCTATTCTATGGATTAAGGGAAATTTAAGGATAAGATGCTTTGAACCATATTAAGAATTATTGTCACTTTCTCGACTTCATGATATAATAGGTGCCTTTAATGTTATAATTGAAAATTTACATGTAAAATTTTATGTATTATAATGTTGGTCGTTGGATGTACGGGGCGGGTATTACCCATGGGTACCCGAAACCCACGGATATGGGGATGGGTTTGCAAAATCTTCCCCCGCATGGGTATGGGGCGGATATGGGTTTGGATATTTGAAAGCGGGGATGTTGATGGTTTACGCAAACCCGTCCTATTGCCATCCCTAGCAGCGAGACACTGTGACTTTCAATCGACGACATATACTTTATTTTCAATTCATAACAACAATTCATAGAGGATAGTTGTCAGTGTATGTTGTGTGTGATTTTAGTCGTTACATGCACTTAAAGTTGATGCTTTTAACGGAAATATTATTGCATGCACTTGATAATTAAGGCCGGATAAACACTTGACCCAACAACGTCATTGCTCATTACATAGCAAAATGCCAAAATTATTATATTGGGAACACGGCCGGACAAGAGAATGTGCAAGGTGGATAACTAAACACAAGCCTTACATCGTCGCATCTTTCCAACAATTGCCGGCGGCGAGCCTTTTAGTATTCCTCCAAGAAAAATATCGCATTCACTTGTTTTTACATGGACAAGAATACATCCCGATGTCATCGGGTCTGCAGCTGGATAAAACGAGTTTTAGAGACCTAATTATGAGCCAAAACAAAAGGAATTTGACACTTTTGTCTCTCACTAATCACTATAATTAAAACACATTAAACCACTACCTGGTTGACACGTAACCAATAATATTGGAAATGACGTCCAAAAGAATCGAGAAAAGAACAAAGATATTATCAAACTTGGAAATTAGTAGTAAGTAATAACTTATCAAATTTCAAAGTATCTGATTATCTGTCTCTGTTAACCCGTAGTCTCAAAAGGTCCGAAATAGTCGGCTTGACTTTTCCACCAGGCCCAACCCGAGCCCACACGTTAAACCAGCCCAAAAACCCGGAGTCAAACTACCACCACTCACCACTCGCCACGTTGCAGAAACAAACTACACATCTCCGCACCAGATCACACCCCGTTCTCTCCTTCCCCGTCCCTATATAATCCCCCTTTCCCTCCAATAGAGCCTTCACCAGTTCTCTCTCCCGTTCCCAATCCCATCTCTTCCTCTCCCCACTCCAGAACCTTCCCTCTCCCTCTCTCCATCCTTCCGCCGTCGGTATCACCGGCCGATATCTGACTAATCTGGCGAACTCCGACGAGCTGGCAGAGCTGGAAAGGAAGAACCGAGAGGTGGTTCTTTCGCTCTATGAAGCCTTGAGCTGCCGCGACGTCGAAACCGTCACCAAGATCCTCGCCCGCGACCTCGAGTGGTGGTTCCATGGCCCTCCTTCCCACCAGTTTATGATGCGATTGCTCACCGGCGCCGACAACAACAGCAACATCAAAGATCAGTCGATTCAATCGTCCTTCTCCTTTTCCCCCAAATCGATCGCCTCCTTCGGATCGATCGTAATCGCTGAAGGCTGCGATTCGGAGCGCGGGATCTACTGGGTCCACGCCTGGACCGTCACGGATGGGATAATTACCCAGGTCAGGGAGTACTTCAACACGTCTCTCACCGTCACGCGCCTCTCCAGCTCCTCCGCCGCGGCCAAAATCGGCCGTTCAAGGTCGAAGTCCAGGTCGTCAGCATCATCGACGGCCGAGATTGCTTCCGTGCATTACTGCCCTTCCGTGTGGGAGAGCAGCCTCTCCAATCTGGTGGGGAAGTCCGTTCCAGGGCTCGTTCTCGCTATCTGAATCTGAGCCGTCCATCAAACACACGCCCGCATCCCAAGAAAATAATATTATTAATTATTGGGTGAATAAAGAAGGGTGTGCCACGTGTGTGTTTGAGTCGCGGCGCGAGCGGAGATGTAAGGCCTTTACCCTTAAGGCCGTTTTTTGTTTCGGTAATTTGGTCCGTTTGTGGTCATAGAGTCTAGCTAAGGTTGCTCTGTTTCTGAGTTCGATCTCTCTCGTGTGATGTCGGTGTGGTGTTATCTTCGTATCAGAATAAAATTGTGTGATTTTAACAAATTTATTAAAAGCCTCTTCGAATTTTCATTGGTAAAGCTAACGATTTAAGATATATAATGAATACGCGACATATATAGTATATTGTATTATTCGAATATACTATATGATATCATGAACACTACGAGGAACATGTTTGGAGGATTCGATAAAGCCGTCGGAGTTAGGCTCTCTTGTCATGGCTGATGTGGAGAGAGAGAGAGATTCGGTTCCATCCTAGGAAAAATATGTTATTTGTGTATATAATTACTAGGCTTTTGCAGTGCTAAGTGAGCTATTATTTTATGATAAGCGCGTGTATAAAGGAACTGATAATTAATTAATGAAAGTAATAATTGTAGTTGGTGGCCGAGCGTCGCGATCGCTCGCCGTCGCATGCCGACGGTGGTGGACCAGACCGGAGAGTTGAACTTTTGAACGTCCAATCTCCAATGTATTCCAACGGGGAAGTTGTGTCTCTGCCATTATCGCCCCCATTAACTCAATCGCTGCTCCACCATTGTCCCAAAGTTCTTGTCGCTCTCGCATTTCTGGCGATTTTATTTTAGGTCAAGTTATATTTATTATATATTGGGGAATGGGGCTGTCATTTTCAACTTTGTGAGATAGATACTATCGGAATCATGGTCCATGAAATCGTACTGTATTGGCGGTTCAACCATAAAATATTAGTATTGGAGGCTAAACTGGTAGACGGTATTTAACGTTACTAATGGTTGAACTACAGTTAAACATGATTTTGTCATTAATTACCTTATCGCTGACTTTTCAAGTACGATCTCCGGCCGGTATGGTTTCTCATTTCCATTGCCAACTTGCTATTTTCCGAGAGAATTTCAATTTTCCTCGGAAAAATGAAACCTAATTGCATCAAGTTCGAAACTCCACCAATTGAGCTATATCCCAAGAGCGAGGTGGAACATGCAAAAATGAGTCACGTACTTCTATTTTTTTTCCCCATCTAAATTAGATTTACTGTAAAAGAATTTTGATAGCTACGTAACGTAAGGCACTAACACAAAGATCTTTGGTATGGCAATTGCATGCGCATCCTTATCAGTTATCACAGACTCGCTCTCATGTTTATAGCTTTCTTCTTTCTTTGTGTTGTTTCCTTCAAATCCAAGCCCACCTGTTTAGCACATTGGTTGTGGTCCAACAACAATTTTGGTTGCTATCCTAGTTGCTTTATCAATACACAAGGATGCTGCCTTCCAAGTTACAACTGGTCTTTTGTTCTCAAGAAGAAGATCGAGCAATATAATCGGCAGCCTTTTTGCTTTCGAACACCAGTATATGGAAGCAAAAGGATCGAATAAAGAAGCGAATATCCTGAATAACTATTTCTACGTAACAAACAGAAGGGTCTCCTCCCTTTGTCCTTTATCACCACCAATCTGTTGCACTAAGTTTTGGAATATGTTGAAATATTGGTGGTGGTGACTAATTTTCAAAAAAAAAAAAAAATTTTGAGTCACTAGAACTAGATGATATGTGTTATAATGGAGTAGACAATCGACAATACAAAGAAATTAACGGCACATGAATTTACGATCACGTACGAATATGTATGTTATTTGAGTTAACTAGCGGAGAAGACGAGATGCAATATTTTTAGTAGAGCACAAATAACAAGCCCAAATTCTTCCAATATGCAGAAAATGCACTATGATTTAAAAGCTGATAATGACACATATAATGGAAGAAAGTAATTAAGGGTGATTATGAATCGCATTTCGGTAGTGGGGATCTCATCCATGCGTTGCTATGTTGATAAGTTGATCCACCTATTTGTCTCATCTTTTCCATAATGCCTCATTATTCTTCTCATTTATTTTTTTAGTTTTAACATTGAGATGTTAATAATTAAAACTCAATCCACCGGTAACGAAGAAGTCCTATCTAGGCGAGCCATCCCATCAGCAAACGAATACAAATGTTGCGGCACAAACCTAAGGTGTTGATTGTCAAAGTCCTATCTAGCCGGCCGAGCCATCATGCGTTGCTGCATATCTTTGTCAGTCTGAACTTCGTCTAGTCGATGTACTAGAGTTCTGCCAGCTGGAATTTGGTCGGGCCAAGGTTTTCCAGCGGCCGCAGCCTCGTCGGGCCGAAGATATTTGTGGGTCTGAACGTAGTCTAGTCGATGTTTTAGAGTTTTGCCGCCCAGAACTTGATCGAGCTAGAGGTTTTCGAAAACGATCGAGAAATGCTGGCCGACCGCCAAACTTTCCTTAACCGACGATGATGTTTTTTAATGCAAAATTTTGTAGAGTTATATAATTTAATACTGAAATTTTGAATTAAAAAAATAATTGACGACAAATATTAAATGAGTTCTCTCTCTCAAACTTAACCTTGTGTTGTAGAAACAAAGACTATGTGGTGGAGTTATGGATGAGGGATTTTCATTACTTTGTTTCATATTATCCAGTTTTAGAAGATGATTGTAATTGTAATAGTTTGTTTGGCTAGGAAGTTGTTGGAAAGATAGAAATTGGTAGCAGCTACTGGGGTTTTTTGGTTCTACAGATCACAGGGTAAATTCCCTTCTGGAATTTGTGAAAGGTGTTTGCCTTTGCACTGTTTTCTTGTTAATAAAATGGGAACTTATTTAACGGAAAAATAGGTTAATACATTATTTTGACCTGAACTATGATCATATAATCAACTTTGGCATGTGGTTTCAGAAATTAACATTTTGGCGTCAACTATGTAACATATAAACTCAATTGGCCCAACACATGGTTTGACCGTCAATCTGGATGGTCAACATTCTATATCATTGCCTCGTCAGCCTAAAAATCATTAAAAAAATTCGAATTCAAATTCAAATTATTTTCCTAATTTTTATTATTTATCATTTTCAAATTAATCAAAAAATAAATTATAAAAACATAAAATAAATTTTATTTTCTATTTTTTTATAATTTGGAAATTTTTTATAAATTAACCAAAAATTATCAAATTATTATAGAATATTTAAATTACTAAAAAATAAAAATATTATATTATATTTTTTCAATTTATCATTTTCAATTGTCCCAAAAGATAAAACATGAAATTTATTTTATATTTTTTAAAATTTTAAATTTTATTTTCTGGTTAATTTGAAAATGATAAATAATAATAATTAGGAAAATAATTTTATTTTGATTTTTTTAATGATTTTTAGGTTGACTAGGCAATGACATGGCGTGTTGACTAACGGTTAATGGTGTTGACCGTCCAAATTGACGGTCAAACCATGTGTTGGGTCAATTGAGACTATATGGTACATAATTGATACCATGATGTTAATTTCTGAAACCACGAACCAAAGTTAATTATATGGTCATAGTTCAGACCAAAATAAGGTATTAACCCGGAAAAAAAACTATAGACCGTATCTCTCTCATTTTTCGGTGTAGAACTGTAGATTGAATCTAAACATTGTATTTGTCAATTCCTTGTAATATTCTTTGTTTCCTTTTCTAGTTGATTAAATCGTATAAGAAAAAGCCAAATGGTCAGAGTTACGTACCTCAATCCTTTTCCACCTAATTGTAGTTTATTAATTATGCGTATACGTATGATGATTTTATCAGAAACAGATAGACATAGGCTATGGCGACAAACTTGAATAATGATTGTGGATTGTTCTTGCTAAAATAACCGATCATTTCTTGATTACGGATAATAATTTTAATCAGCCGCGGACGTAGGATTGGGTAGAGTACTAGGCCACATTTTGAAAAGACGCATAGTGGGCTAGGTCATAGCTCGATGACGAACACTTAAACGATTACCAAAAATTACAAATTTACAAGTACTATACTAACTTTGATCGAGAGAAGGGCTGGGCCGCGGCCCAGAGGCACCCCGGGATCCGCAGCTGATTTTGATCTGATCCAAATTGTTTCAATTTATATATTTTTTACTTTCTGTTGTAATGTAATGATTTAAAGTTCACACTTCTATTTCTTTCAATTCGGTTTATTAGGAATTATTGGTTCTTGATATAGTATAAGAGTGTTTGATCAAGAAGTCTTATCATTTGAGCGAGCATGCATAAAGTGAAATGATATTGGTTTTCAAATCAAGTTATTAAGAGCAATCAGTTCTGAACCTATGTTCGAACGTTACCTGCCCTGCTAGTAGCTAAGGTCGTAGTTCAACACTGCTCTTGATATGTTTTATCTTAGTTTATTGTCGATATTTACATATATGTAAATTGTGTTGACTCTTTATGCACTAACCTAGTTCTTATATATCTAAAAATTTATTTCATTTTACGCTTAACATTTAAAAATGGATCAATCTGTTTCTTATTACTGCTTTACAAATGGATGAATATACACTAGATTCGGAGAACTAGCAAGAGAGAGGGAACCTGGAGGCGACGGCGGGGGCAGGAACCAATGCGAAATTGTGGAAGCGTAGAGCGAAATAACGGAGAGAAGAAGGCAGCACAATCCGATTCCGAGCAAGCCGGTGGCAGTGGCTGAAATTTCCAAACTACGAAGTCGGAAGAGGAATTGGTTGAATCCAACGGCACTGCTTCTCATCCTCGAGATCTCCGCCGACTTCCGATTCTTCTTCCCGATCTGCCTTGCCCTCCTCTTCTCCCCGCTCTCCCTCTCTTCGCTCCTCTGCTCTTCGGCCGGCTCCTCGACCTCGTCGTCGTCGATCTCACCAAAGCTGAGCTCTCTGTTCGCGTTCTTCCGCACTTCGAATTCCGATTCCCCATCTCTCTCGCTAGCCGGAACATCTACAACAGCTTCCGGCGCCGTTCTAGTCAGTTTCAACCGTCCACTGTCGCAATCCGTCTTCGTCACTCTCACTTCATCAAGCGGCATCCCTCCTCACTCTTTTTGCTTTGCCATGCTTCGATTCTCAATCGCTGACTTTCGGATAGGCAGGCTCAGATCTTCTACTTCCACTAGTTAGGAATAGAGTTCCTGGAGCTTTATCCGGGAGAAATGCAAGGTCTTAGAGCCAAATTTAGGGTGGTGGCAGTGGATGCGGGTAACTTTTTAGATTGCTCTGCTCGGTCTGTACGCACTGTTGAAGCCAATCTCCAATGGATGCGTCATGGCTTAGGGATTCGGCCGACACCCTCTTTCAGTCGACGGTAAGAAAGAGGGGAGAGATTAGTTCATTAGGTATTTAAAATGAAAAATTTTTAATTTTCTAATTTTTAATAGTAGTAATAATGAGGTGGAATATTTAAAATTAATTTTTAATTGCCACGTCACAGATTTAATGGTCAACTATGAGAGTTGACTGCCACATCAGCCAAATTTAACAGAGTTGGACGGAGAGTGAGCAAATTTGGATTGTCTTACTAAATGTAGTGACCCTGAATGGATTTAAATATTTCGAGTGACCAAACATGAATGTTTTTTGTAATCTCAGTGACCAACAATGCAATTAACCCTGGATGTTTGTAATGAGAACTTCTCAACTTAAATTTTAACGTTACAAACTTACAATCATTCAATCAAATTGTATTGGTAAATGCATAACCTTTTGCCATCGCCAATTCGCCATTGCCACCAACAATCCACAATAAGTTATATTACAACAAAAAAAAACATTACTCATAATGTTACAATTTACACGATTGTTTAGCCTCGACATTTTTTACTAAATATTTTTCTCGAAGGTTTGTCAATTCAATCCTCTCGACGTGGGAAATGACCATATGATCGATTCGCACTAACCAAACTTATACATATAGCAATTGGAACAAAAATTATTAGTCTAAGGAGTATCGTTCTCGTCAATGATAACAAGGAGGGCGATGATAAAGGCATAATCAACCTCAGGATAGACTTTGATGGTGTACCTTTCCTTCCCCTTGTAGAAGCTCTCCAAGGTGAAGTTGTGTTTGACTTCCGCCAAGATCCTATGGCCTTTGTACACTTTGAAGGAGAGGGAGGTATAGGAGCCAATGACATTGAAGTCGGGCGCACCGATTTTCTTCGTAGGGTTGTTCATATTGCCGTTGCTAAGAATATGATGGTCAGAAAGGTAAACATTGAGATCCTTCTTGATTTGGAGAGGGTGAGATTGCTTCACCGTGAACAAAAGATTGTTGTTGTCATTCATTCGCTCTGATGATGGGCTCTCCTCGTTGATGTATGCCCTCCATTTGTGCCATAATGTTATGGTCTGCTTCATTTATAGGTTTCCCAATTTTACACAAACAAAAAAATTCAAAATTTCATTCTCCATCAACATTTCATTGTTAATTTGGACAAGTATACATACAACTCCTCTCTAATTTAAGGTAGGAGGAAGGGAAAAGATTCGATGTGATAATTAACTAACTAATTAATTATTTCTTTTTTGTCACCCTTAAATAATATTTATAATCTCATTTGGTTAGATGGACGAAACACGTATGAAACAAATCTCGAACATTCCAATCAATCACCAAACCAACATTCAACTATATGTAGTTAAATGCACAATGAAAATTTACCTTGCCATACATAGTGAGGATGGGGAATCCGGAAGGCTCTCGAAAAACACGCTTCATACGGTAGTTCCAGACACCACCTTCAACATGGAGGATGACATTGCCACAAGGGTCGAAGACTTCGAATTGGGCATTCGAGAGTCCCTTAATCTTTTTCTTCACCACCAACTCCTTGCAATATGGGAAACAATACCCATCCCCTATCACACTCACTTGTGGCACCCCATACTCCCATTCCCTAATTTCCATTCCTCTCTCTCTCAAGCAAAAACCCTAGACATGAACACAAGGAATGAGGAAGAGAAGATGGAAAGAAAGGAGGAACCAAGAAGAGATTCGGAGAGGGTTTAATCCATTTTCAGGTTGTGTTTTTGTGTTGCAGTTTGAATTGCAAATCTGGTGGTTTGGGTTTCATTTCTTATTATATTTCCTTGGTGGGGTTTATGTTTTTTTTTCCTTTTCTTCTTTGTTGGTTCTTCTTTTCTTTGTTGAAGGTTTATTAGGTTTGGTATTTTGTCATGGTGGGTGTTTTTTGAAATGTTGAGGGAGGGGAATTTTTACTCCTTTTTTGTTTTTATACTACTTTTTTTCTTGTGTGCCCAATTTCTGTACTTAAATAGACGTTAGCTTTTGGGAAAGCAATTTTTGTGGGGTAATATGTGGTTTTTTTTAATCTTTGGGTCAAGGGAGAGTTTCTCTTTTGTATATTTTTTGGAGCTAGGTTCTATTATTGTTCAATTGTAGGGTCAATTATTAAACAGTGATCTAATCTTAGGGTCAGTGGTATTTGAATTTAATCTATTTGTAACTTGCATTTACACTAACAATGATTAGTGTGTATAAGATCCATTGTTTAATCTTTACAGATAACTCGAGTTATTGGATCAACTAGTCTTTGACAGGGTATCAGAGCTTTCTGTGATTGAAATATTTTTCGTTCGAATCATGATGACCTCTATCAAAGCCTTTATGAATGACTTTCATTTAACAGACTATCAGAGCCTTCTGTGATCAAAAGGTTTTCGGTTCCAATCCCAGTGACCTCTATCAAAGCCCTTATGTCTGGCTTTCATTTGAGGCGATGTGTTAGAGTGTTATTAGAGAAACTATTTCTTGAAAACAAGTACTTCACCAATTGGCATCGATTTTTCATTTGACGAAGTGTGTTAGTGTGTGGTATAAGATCCATTTATACACCTCTACCAACAATTCGAATTATTAGATCATTGACACATTTACTTCATCAGTAGTCATCCATTTTTCTATTTGTATTTATGATTTATTCTAAAACCAATTGCATGGATGAAAGTGTCCTAAAAAGTATTTTAAAACAAATTAGTCCATTTAATTATTCGTTATATTTGAGACACAAGATTGAAGTAAAATCACAATTCACAAGCTGATGCCAATTCATTTCTTCCATGACACTTATATGCTTTTCTGCTTTAGTTTCTTTATTTGGATCATCCTTTAAACATTAGGACTGCCCCCCTAAGCTTCCATGAGAACACAAGCTTCTTTTCTCTTTTAGTATTTTTTGCTTTTGAAACTTGATCACTCTAATGTTTTACGCCTACATTCCAAACATTAGATTCAAACAATAGTAAAGCATCATAGAAAAAGGTACGGAAAAAAAGAGGAAGAGAAGTTACTAAAAATGAACCCAATTATTGCATTGTTGTTGGCTTTTTGGTGCATGATGTCTAACATTGCTTGCTAAGAAACCCCCAATAATAGGGCTCTCCATTCACATTGAAACTTTGAGAGGTTAAAATTGTCGGCCACATGGAGAGATAATTTCTAAGCTCGAGCTCTTTGGAGTTTTCGACCGGCTAAAGATGTGGTGATTAAGGGGAGTGTTTAATGCGACCAAAGATGATTAGTTGATTACACGTTCATGATTGATGAAATTTCACAAGTGAATTTGAAATACTATCTATCTATCTATACATAATATTATGGCAATTCAAAATTAATTTTTTGCCACATAAGCACTTGGAGAGATCTCAAGTTGCCAAGGTGGACAATTTTTTTACGAAAAAAATAGTTATTGACCTATTTATGGAGTTGTCCCTCTCTCCTCATTTAATATTAATTCTCTTTTATCCAATAATTATTTTGATTTTTTTTTGCATTATATCTATAAATAATATATGGAAAGAAAGGTTATCAACCGGTTTAGCAAGTGGAATGGTTTTACCAGTGGTACAACCGATTTGTGTCGGTTCATGTCGGTTAATAAAATATGTAGAAATATCAAATGAATTTAATCGTATATAAACCATATTTGAAGACAATTTCCGTACAAGTCATATTGATATTTGAATAAAATATGATATTTCAAATAAAATTACATGTACTCATACTTAAATTCACTAAAACTACATATTTTACTTAGAAATTTGTAAAACGATCATACCGGTCATACCGATGGTGTCATGTCGATTTCATGATCGGTGTCGGTTGAATGGTTCAACCAGTGGCAAGCCGACCGACGTGACAATCATGATGGAGAGTGACATATATAAGATTTTGTTTTTGCGTTATATCGATATACATAACAGTATACTAATGTTCGTAGAGTGACATATATATCACACTTTTTAAACAAAAAATATATGATTAAAGATTACTATGTAAATTTCTGCTCATTTTTACTAAAACTTAATAATAATTTACATTTTAATGAATAATTTAAACAAACATACAAAAATAATAATATTTTTTCGATAAGGTCTGAAAGAAACTTGACAAAGAAATAATAGTTATTTATTAAAAAAGCTTCTTATTCATTCTCATCAAGTGAAAACATATAAATCGCATGTGCAGTATTTAACTATTTATAATGCATCCTAAGTTCGCATTACTAATATTTTCTCTAGGTCATCTTGAATTCTTGATTGAGCAAGCTACGTTAAACATCACATTAAACATCACATTTCAAGCTAAGAATAATCTAAATTCAACGATTAAGGTAATAAATAAACATTAATGTTTTACTTCACATATATAACAAAAAAACATTTATAGTTACAATAGTGTAAACCGAGCTATTGGGTCAAAAGAAGAATATTGTAAATATGAGTTTAGTATGAAAATTGTAACAAGTCTATATAGTTGTGAGCCTGTGATTCATACTAAATTTTGGCAATAACAAAAAAAAATTGACATCATATTCCACCCAAGGAGCTGAGTTCAAAGGTATTAATTAATTAGTGTTGAAAGTAAAATAAACTCTCTCTCTATATATATATATATATATATATATATATATATGTTTAGATATTAACAATAGATGTGTCTACAATACATCAAATCATTCAAATACATGTGAAAAGCCACAATGTTTGTATGAACTTTTAAATTTTGCTACAAAATATTTTGTTAAAAAATTAAAAGTTAATTATTCAAGGAATACATAATTTTGAATGCACCTGAAATATATGTCTGTCGTATACACACTTGACCAATTATTAATATAAGTAATGAAAATTTTGTTTTAGAACAAACACCAAATGTAAAGAAATTTTAGCGAATGGACATTCAAATAGTTGAAAAATTATCCATTGAAGGAACATGTTAAGATGAGAACCTTCGATAGTATATATGGATGCCTTGGATTCAGACTCTAAACGAACATCTAGACAAAAGGCATGGGTTGAGGGTTAGTCCAAACTTAAAATATTAGCAATTGATATATATATTGTAAGATAATAATCATTTGTATCTTGATAGAAAAATTGTCATAAGATGCTATACAGAGACTTCATGAACATCAACAATAAAAATGAGTGAGGTTTAGAGAATTTAATCATTATAAGGGATACGATGTGTGTCAAATTTCAATTGGGATAAACATAATTTATTCAGTAATCAAGTATCTTTTCCAATAATTTGAACTCTGATTAATTGGCTGAGAGTTCGTACAAACTCGAGAATCATGAATTGATATATGTTGTATAAGATAATAAATTTGAGCGTCTTGGTGAAAATTTTGATATATACGATCCTAAATAGGACGTGATAAACCTTTACGACATGATTAATGATCAGAGAATAAAAACATCACAAGCGAGTGTGCTAACTATGAAATATTAAGAATTTTCGATATAGGCACACCACATATTCACTTATGAAGCGAGAGCAGAAAATGTATACAAGATCCAAAAAGTTCAAACATGTAGATAAGTTAACTAATATAAATAATAAAATGAACTTCACCGGCCAACTGGTCGGGTAAAAAAACTAGTTTTCTAATGTCTTCGTTGTACATGGAAAGACAAATAATGCTTGAGAATTGATGGTCAATCAGTATACACTAAGATCATAAAGGACACATACCAAAATTGTAGTTCATATGTTGTGGTACAATCCAAATCCAAGTATTATAATAGAAATATAAGAGAAAGAACTATTGTGTATTATTGTTCATCTAGTTCAAATAGTATGAGTTTTTTTGAAAGGAACCAAAAATAAAATCGGTGAGTTTGGTCTAAAGTAGACAATATTTTACTAATAGAGTTATACGATTTCAAAAACCAGTATTCGAGCCTGGTTTGGGGTTTGGATCGAGGGCGGTAAACGTCAGAGTTGACCGTCACATGATGACCTTGAGATTTGAGATGTGCATGTGTCTAGCGGATCTAGGAAGATCAATGTTTAATAATATGTCTGGCGGATCAAGTGGATATACACATATAGTAAATCGATAAATCCTTGTGTCGAAGATCCTGTCAATACAAGGTGCTCGACGAATAAAGACAATCGATAAATGGTGGATATAAAAGTCGTGATCCTTGTTTTGAAAGAAGGATTGTTATGGTGCAATCCAACTACAACATGGAAAATAAACTTGTATATACACCTAGCACATAGATCGACCAATCATATACACTATGTTTGGGAAGAGGTGCAAATGAGAGGAGGGTGCAAATGGGAGGGGTAAACACAGTTTCCAAAACACTTGCACCTGTTTGGATAATTTGTAACAGTAGGGGTGCAAAACGGGAGTACAAAGTTACTGTTTCGGCTTACCCTCCAAATTGGGGTGCAAGGGAAGGAAGGAAGAGAGGGGGGAGGGGTGAGAGTGGAAATTATGGATTTTTAATTATTATATAATTATAATTATTTTATAATTATATAATAATTAATATTGTCAATTTCTTTTCTTGTAGTTATTATTGATGTAGACATTGTTCGGGGTTGACTCCGAAAGCAAATTTATCAATGTTCGTCTAGTCAACTAGAGATCTCTTGGTTGATTCGAATTTGCATTGAAAATTAGAGATGAGAAGTGCTTTGGAAGGTGTTTGATTAAGTTTGAACATATTCATTTTAGAGCTAAATTAGATACGAGAACCTTGTAGGATAACCAGTTACGAGTTGGGCTTCGAGCTTCGAGGTTGCTCGACCAATAATTATTATAAGTAATTATTATTAAAGCACTATTATATAATAATTATTTTTATTAAAGCATGTTAATTGATATTATTTATTATATAATACTTTATAATAATATTTTATAAATTTGATAAATCTATTTTATAATAATATAAT